ATTATAGTACATCACTTGAACAACAATAGGTTAGGTCTCTCTTGTAAAGATTTGTACCTTCAGGGTAAAAGAATTTGACAACAGAAGGAAAGAAACATATACATGTGGAGGTCCTTTATGACTAGATAAGCATAAAATAGAATACTTAAATGGGAATATGAATACACATTTACACCAAGTTGAGAAATCTTGAAAAGGTCCCTGCTTTCCTGTGGGGTGGGGGGGGGGGGGGTTGCAACATAAAGTAATAAAGTGCTTTTAACATGCAAGTTGCAAAAATGTGCTTCTTTGGTAAAGAAAGAATGGGATTACTTTGTCATTTATCATAAATTCTAGTCAAAATGGTGATACTTCTATTGGTGCCTAAGAAATTTTTAAGCTAGTGGGCGGTGGGACCAGAAATAATATTCACAAGTACTATTGGTGGACATAGGCTTTTCAAATGGTCCAACAGGGAGCAACATGCCATTGGTAACATCCCAAGATGGCAATTAAACCAAGAAAATAGATGTGCGGTATTTGGTACTCCGACGGAATTGAACACTATGATGAATACACGGATAATAGTTTTTTTTCTTATTTAATACTATCAAATTTTATCTATCAAGCGTGTCGCGAGTACGTATGATCATAAGGAAATATGAATATCTTGTGCATTTACCAAACTATGAACATTAGCAACAAGTGATGGCACAAGCATCTCGTCTAGATCACATAATAGAGCTAACTGCATCTTATTCCCTATCAACATATCTAGATAAGACTTGTTATCCTCATCATGAATACATTGAGAAGAGTTGACTCGTGAACATGAACAAAAACTTATTTCACATCTGGTTCAACTTGAGCAAGAACTAAATAAATCAAGGACAATATAAATAAATAGTTTGTTATTCTTCTAACATCTTATGCTTTTAAATTAAATGGACCGCCAAGATAAGAGAGCTTACAAATGCTCGTAGAGCAAGTTACATCGCCACCTATTTATAAAACTTTTGGTTAATCCCTCCAAGGGTCCCTCACCTTTCGTAAGTATGACATTCATGTTCTCAACCTTTTAACATTGAGCACGCAATATCCTAACATGACGGGAAATTTCTATTTAGACGGTATAAGGCAACGTACATGCACATAATGTCAAATAGTGTGAGCATTCAGAGCACACGACTTGTATTAGACACTTGAAGAATAAGCATCACGCAGAATCTTTGATAAAAGATTTACAATCGAGAAAGACAATAAGCCCATGCTTGGTACATTCTTTCAAAACTCATTTTCAACCACACATTTTCATCACATCAATAATTTTTCTTTACTTTTTCTCATTAGATTCCTGTCCAAAGGTAAATGTGATTATATTAGTGTTACTAACTTTTCAAGGCCTTTCCAGATTGTTAGGATTTGTTTGATATGCAAATGTGGAAAGTAATTCCAATTCCATATTAGTTGGAAAATAAAAATCCACTAAATTCATAAGAATTCGTTTTTCACGAAAACAAAAAAAATGCAGTTTAAAGTGGTTGTACCTTGAAATTCGGTTTCCATTTCCACGTTACAATCAAACGGCCAAAGTGAAATTCGTTTCCTTGAATGTGATATTTTTCATGGAAAATGTGGAAATCAAACATGACCTTATTGTTTCACGTAGATGTTATCAAATCAATTGATTATTCACTTAAGTTCCTTACAGCACTTGATTAGGAGAGAGATTTTACTTTAGAATACCTTCTAAGAAATTCAAGTTTGAGATAATTATTTCCCACTCAAAAAGAGAGAATCTTGCCAACATATTTAGAGATCTTAAAAATGAACTCTATTTGACATTTTTATAACTAATTAGGACCATTTTCTGCATTCAAATATTTCATAATATGGTTGGCATGTTGAATAAGACGTTCCTTTCCTATTTAACCCACCAGTACTGTTTAGTTCGACATACCAAATTAAACAGTAATGATAATATTAACGAAGAAAAATAAACAAAATTTTACATATCATTGAAGTTTCTGTCTCAAGAACTCAATCTTGACGAGTATTGTGGTTTTTTATACGAGAGTCTGATGCCTTTGAGGATATATATGTCACTTGAACAACCATTGTTTCAACGTGAAGAAGGAAAAAAAGATCAACCATTGGCTTATCATGAGGAATGGATTCTCTCTTGTAAAGAATTAGGTCCTCAAAATTAAGTCAGATATGTTCTTTACAAGTGAAAATTCACATCTTTCCACTTGGAATATTATGATAAGCAAAGTTTACTTGTCATTTTGGCGAAAGAGTGATGCCGAATTGCTGAATTTGGGTGAAGCATGAAGTATCTGATGCAGTGGTCATTTGTCATTGTCAAGTGCCCCATAAGCGCGCAACAAGTATCGTGGTTCAGTGTGAAGAATTTTTTCTCTTCAGTTGACTCAAGAGCCTGAGAATATCCCGGAATAGAAAGACTAATTTTCCGGGGCACCTAAAACTTTGTGTGAAAACCAGCACGAATCATTTCATAGCCATGGTCTTGTAACTAAGGATCTTCGAAGATACAGAAACTGCAAGAATGTTTATGATTTGCAGTTCAATTATTTGCACTTAACATAGCTCTGAACTCATTCTAAGAAAACCTTCGTGGCTTCGTCTAAATGGAGTTTTACATACCCTGTGAACTTGAAATGGATAGTTTACTTGACAATGTGTCACTCCTAATGCAGCGTCTTTAAACCACTAACAATACACAACTGACAACTAAATGTTCAGGACAAAAAGTAATCGAGTTGAGTATATGTCTTTCTAACATGGAGATCATGAATATTCCAAATAAAATTTTTGTAACACCTACAGATTTGTACCATACGTGTAGCAGCATTTTGAAAGCACTCGTATGGTGGGCTACATCTGAAAAATTGCACTGGGATGTCCTAACTCGAGTCCATTCGATGTAACACTCTGCATATGTAGATCGTGCAGATTTAATCCAAATGGAGCAGTCCCTCTGAGATGCGTCCTGATTAAGCTGCAATTTGGCAGATTGAATCCTTGATTAGGCAAATTAGAATCATGTTCTACTTTGATCTTGGCATTCATACTTGAATTCTGTTTCTGTGGTGAATGAGGCCCATCTTTTTCTGGTAAGGTCCATTCAGTCTCTGTATGATTGACAGTAGTGATATCATGTATACTGGACCTTCTTTTATTTTTCCCTCCAGAAAGTTGCCTGATAAAGTATTTCTGAGCATGACTGGCAACTTGAGTCGGAGTCCTTGTCGTTACGAAATTCCGAGAGATATTTCTCCAGTCTCCTTTTCCATACTTTTTGAGCCCCAACAGAAATTGCCTGAGGGTTCACCATCAATAGATATCATCAGAGGAAAAGAGAAAGGCTTCGATTAAGTAACTACAACACGTTCACGAGTTAAAATCCTGTATATTGTAATGTCTAGTCCTATCTAAGCACTGTAATCAATTTATGCTAATTTCTAACTATCAGTTTCATGAAAATTAACACTATCAAATATGTCCTTCCCTTCTGCTAATTTGATGTGTTTGATTGCAAAAGACAGAAAATCCTGCTTTATTTAACTAATGACAAGATTTTAAAACAGTTAACAATATAAAATTTACAAATATATGAACGAAAAATCACCTGTGTTCTTCCTCAGTCCATGGAACTCCCTTTCTCCTTTCATGATCAGAAGAACGAGCCGATGAATTCCTCTTCCCTCCTGGACCATAGAGATGTTTCAATCCATCATAGCCATGGCTATTCACCCACTCCAGTGTGAAAGAATTAATATTATTGGTATAACCTGGTGTTGGATATAGCCCTGCTTCTATATCACTAACATCATCTACCAATTCAATGTACTGTTTGATCACATCACTTGCAGTCTTTCCAGGGATCATAGCTGCAACATTGTCCCATCGATCCGGAGTATCCTCGTCGAATAATGCAAGAGCTTCCTCAAACCTCTTGTTCTCTTCAGGTGTCCATTTTGTCCCCTTGTTCTCCTCAAAAAACCAATTTGAGGAAATCAAATATGATGCAGGAGATAAGGGTTCCATTTCCCAGTTCATTTTTTGCAGTTACTCTAACAGGAAATTTGGTGAAGCCCTTCAACGCAAAATAATTTGACAATTGAAAGAGATACACACATACAAGTGGAGGTCCCTTATGACTAGATAAGCAATTAATCAAACACAACACTTACTCACATAAGGTGAGGAATCTAGAAAAGGCTCCCACTTTCCTAACCAAGGAAAATTCAGGAACTGTGGAAAAAGTAGATCTTGCATGTAAATATTGAGATTCTTTAACTGATCAAAAGATATAAACATCTAAGCAAAAGTAAGAAGGACTGAAGATTTACGGAGAAAGAAAGAAATCCAAGTAGAGGGTGAAGAAATAATGAGAAAGATTTTTTATTTCTTTTCTATGATGATGGTGGGTTTGAATATACTTTTAGACGAGATACTTCAACGTCACATTAGACTAAATAATTGAATTTAATTCTTGCTGCAGCACATTTATGAAATGAGACTTTTTATGGTAGAGCATATTGAAGTTTCTTTATGAGTATAAACTTTTAGACGAGATGATTTAACATGACCTACTAACGAATTTACAGAAGAGAATCCATGTTTATCAGTAATTTGTACCTGTCAGTTAAGAGGGCAAGATTTTGAGATTACACAGTAGTATTCTAATAGAAGAAGAGAGGCTTAGAAATGAAAGGTATTGAGAATGATTGGTTGAAGGTGTCTGTGGGGTCTGCTTAAAGGACAAGCTGTTATGGGTATAGTACATGGAGGCATCTGCCTCAGGCATTTTTTTTTATTGAATTGAAGGGAGAATTAGTGGTGTCCACATTTTTTGCTGCTGAGAGCAACTACTTCCTTTGTCTTGGCGAAAATTCGTCCCATCGAAATGTGTATTAAAATTCATATCATAAGACACTCTCGACTTACTCTAACCCTCCTCATTTCGTCAAGAATGAAACCCGTATTCCAATTCGAGAGCAATAATGCACTCTCATAGTGAAAATTTAAGGATTAAATCATATGTACAGAAGAAATTTTGACACAAGTTTTACAGACACGCACAATATGTGGGACCCACCAAAATAAGGCTACCCTAGCAGATATTTTAATGTGTTATGGCCAAACTGATGTAAATGCTGATATTTCAGAGTTTTATTCACACTCTGGAATTGGCAGTGGTGGTCCATTAGAATTTAAACCACAAGCAAAAGAGTAAAAAAGTGTGAAAAGTTACAAAAGGCTTCCATTATTGATGCAAGGAAAAGGTTTTCAATACAATATGAACCAGGCAAACATAAATGTGGCGAGCACCAATGGGGACCGGCAGTGTTGGACCACTCCTATTCTACTCACAACGTCAACACAAAAGTTAAAACGCCGAAAACAATTGTTGAGTTGATGGCCATATCGAACTAGGCACAACATGACACGATCGAAAAATTTGAACTGCATTGAACCCATAACGAGCATGTACTGGGCCACCTCAATTGCTAGAACATGTCGTTTTGCACTTCAAGGCAATCGAGGTGTCAATTAACTTACGTGATAGTGAGGTAGGTGAGAGTAGACCGTGGGGGTAAATTTCACGAAGTTTTAAATGTGGGGGCAAAATTGAAAATTGTAAGGAATTTTTTTTAGAAAATCTTGCGTAAAATTTTGAAAAATCTATTGCAAAATATTGGATTTCAAATTTATTGTCGGGCAGTTGTAGATCCGCCCGTGGGACCTATATGTGGGAGGACACATGAATTAGTCTTTTTTTTTCCATGCATTGTGGTCTATGAATTCTAAGCTCAACTTACACTTCAAAATTTCATAGATATAATTATGACGGAGGGATTAGTAGATTAAACTTGGACTTATAAGACATAAAATTCAAGCCATGCTTATCACATTCCTACAAAAGGTAGGCTGTCGAATCATTGATTCAATAGATTTGACTATTTGAACTTTTTACAATTAAAAAAAATGATAATTTTTCCTCGGAAACAAGTTATCAACTTTTGATCCCTACCGAAACTAGCTTCTTGTCCGATATTTTTCTTAGTATATATTTGATACGTTAACTGGACTGAATAAAATAAAAAAAGCTAACGTAATACATTATATATTTGCATTTCTTGGCTCTTCGGACCAATTCTATCCAATTTAACATACTAAATATGCTATTAATTACTTAACGGCAAATTATTCTTAAATAATGTCATTATATGCTGACTAGGATAAACTTTGGCCAAATGAAACAGCTGGAAATTGTGACATTATGAAAGGTTCATTGTATGTGTAGTACGAAATGGAGTCAAAGGAGTATTAATTACAAGTGTATTGTCACTTTTATGTCAAAGAATTTTAAATTCCTACGTGTGCATAAATTATTTTTCCAAAAGAAAAGTATTGCTTTCAATTATTGGAAGTAACTTGAAATGAAGGCACTGACTATTGAGTGGTTGGTTTTCCTTTCTGATTTGAAAGCTTTTACAAATTTACTTTTAGAATCATGTTTATTCACAAAGTTGGTTAACAACATCTTACATGATATCATTATATTCATCCATTTTAAAAAATCGTTTTCTACGTGACAGCCTTGAATTTTGTCAACGATGTTTGTAAACTTAGCTCTTTTTTTTTTTTTTTTTTTTTGTCTTAGGTGGGGGTGTAAAGTAAGCTAAGCCCCATTTTATAGCTAAAAATTAAATCTTTAGTAGATTTAGATAAAAATTGATGAAATATATAGTTGAAATATTGATAAAAGTTGTACATCCTATGAAATGTAATGTTAAAAATGAATTTAAGAAAATTTAAGGCTCCGTTCTCTTTACTTTTTTCAAGTCTTTTTCTGTTTTCGATTTTCCAAAACAGTGAAAATGTGTTTTATTTATTATTTTTAAAAACGGGTTTTTGAAAACAAGTTGAAAATTTATAAAGAAAACTCAAAATACGTTTTCAGTTATAATCAAGCCAAAATTTTCAAAACTCGTTTTAAGTGCTTTTTTTTTTTTTAAAAAAAACAATTTTTTAAAACGTAAAAAAGAACGCATTTTCAACAATCTCAAAATAAATACTCAAAACTCAAAACCAAAAAAGATCAAAATTTTTCTTCTTTTTTAATAACACATTTTTAAAAAATTCATTATTCTGAAATACATTTTTTTCAAAATTTAATTTTAATGGAGCCCTGGTTTGGGGGACCTCAAATACATTTTCCACAACCATTTTTTGACTCTTAATTTTTCAAAGGGACAAGAAATAAATTATTATTCCCATGTCATATTATACAAAAGAAATGAGTAATGGTGTTCATAGATTTCAACATAATTAGTCAGGCGTTAGAAAGTAAAGGTATTGCTACATAAATAAAGTTGGACTTTTAACAAGTGGAATGATTCTTATTCCATTTTTTTAAAAAGAGCAACCCAAGGAATAATTTGTAGTCCATTTCTTTAGTTTGACTAAATTAAATATATTTTTAACATATTCTTCTTACAAATTACACATTGAACTATGAAATGCTTCAAAATGCTCACTCAACTTATTCTCTCACTAAAAAAAAAGTTGTTAACTTATCTGATCACGTGGAGGACGATTTTCTTGCGTGAAAACCAACATCGTGCCACATCATCAGTCAATCCACATCAAATTTAAAATAATAAAAAAAAAATCGTGTCTGTAAAAATTAAGGAGTTGTTCTCTTCGTATTTCAATTTCATGTCTTTAGTTTTGAATTTATTTTGGGTTTTATATTTTTAGTGTCCATTTTGAGATTGTTGAAAATGCGTTCTTTTTGTCATTTTGAAAAATTGTTTAAAAAAAAAAAAAAAGTTTTGGCTTGGTTTTAAC